TCTGTAAATGTTCATTAAAATTAATAAAATTTAATTTTAAAACATTTTTTAAAATTTTTTAAAAGGGTATGTATCTGTGTTTCATTGACTATGACTGTGTGGGTCACAACAAACTGTGGCTATCATAAAGAAGAATGGGGAATTTCAGAAGACCTAACTGTGTTCATGTGAAAACTTTACTTGGACCAGGAAGCAGTCATCAGAACAAAGCAAGGAAGCACTGCATGGTTCAAAATCAAGAAAGGAGTGTGACAGGGACATGTCTCCATATCTTTTCAATCTATTTGTAGAACAGATCATTCGAGAGGCTGGACGTTATGAGGAGGAATGTGGCATGAGGACTGGAGGAAGACTTGTCAACAACGTGCATTATGCAGATGACACAATACTGCTTGCTGAAACTGAGGAGAACTTGAAGCATTTGCTGCAGAAGGATTGCAGTCTTCATTATGGATTGAAGCTCAAAATTAAGAAAACAAAGATTCTCACCACTGGGCTGACTGGAAGGTTCATGACAGAGAAGAGGTTGAGATTGTTAACAATTTCTGCTTGCTCTGTTCCACAAACAACACCAGCATTCAGGAAACCAAAAGACGTATTGCATTGGGAAAATCTGCTGTCAAGCACCTCTCCAGAGTGCTAAAGAGCAACAATGTCAGTCAAGAAACTAAAGCGCACCTGATTCAGACCATGGTCTTCACAATTACATGCTATGCATTAGAGAGCTGGACAATGACTAAGGATGACAGAAGAAGGATCAATGCCTTTGAGTTGTGTTGCTGGAGAAGAAAGTTAAACATCCCATGGACTGTCAGGAGAACAAACATGTTTGTCCCAAAGAGCATAGAACTAGGTTACTCCTTGGAGGCAAGGACTTTGAAGTTCCAAATCACATACTTTGGGCACATAGCCAGAAGAGACCAGTCCTTGGAGAAGGACATCATGCTTAGAGGGTGGAAGGACAGTGAAAGAGAGGAAGACGTTGGATGAGATGGATTGACACAGTAACTGGGGTAAAGGGGATAGGTGTTTGGGTAACAGTGAAAGTGGCTAGGCATAAGAGCTATTGTGCATAGGGTTGCTATGAGTCATGATCAATTCGATGGCACATGACAACAACAACAACATAAAAAGCAGGGCAACTAAGACATTTAGTCTTTGAAATGTTAATTTGTTGTAAGTAACATAAAATGTGTGTGAATTATGGAATAAAATTATTATTGCAATGTTTTAAAAAGTAACAAACAAAATATTCCCTCAGTTATTGAAAAAAGAGGAAAGACAAAATAACATATAAGGGAATAAGAAATAACAAAGAATCAGAAATCAATTTTCAAGAGTATTATTAAGTTTAAAAATAACAGTGTAAAATGGCATATACAGCATATTTCTATTTATGTGTATTATACTATTCACATTTGAAAAATAATAACAATATGTCTGAGTAGTAAGCTGGTCTCCTAACCAAAAGTGTGGTGGTTTAAACTCCCCTAGAATTAACTCAGAAGTCAGGCCTGCTGATTGGATTCTTTT